AGTAAACTTTTTTTTTTTCAAAACCCTGGTCACATATATACTGTGGGAAAAGAATAACCCAGCACTCATTTTCTCTATAGGAATTTGTTTAATTTTGAAATCTTGTTTGTTTTCATGAACTGTTTATATTAATAAACAGTTATATTAATAGGTTGTGAAAAATTACTTATCTCTCTCTTTAATAAGACTAAAAATTGTGTTGATATTTCTAGGGCTTGCTTTCTTTTACTATTTGATAGCTGAATAAGCAAAGCCAGTTGAAGGCCATTGAGAAGGACTGAAGAAATTTCTATAGCGAAAGAAGTCTAGAATGTATTTACTTAGAATAATACAGTGGAAATACTGCACTGAAAACTGGAAACCATCGATAAGCACAAAATACTGATATTGTTTCTAAATCTGAAAAAAAGAAAGACTCCCTTTTATCTTGTAGACTTATGAATATTACTGAAACTAAAATAAAACCTAACTGTGAGACTTATGAGACATGACATTACACAAGAAGTTTAAAGAGCTTTATACAACAAAATTTAATATGCTCTTGAGATTTATTTCCTCTGAATCTTAGACTTTCTTTTTATATTTTCTACTTATGAGAAACACCAATTATGTAATTTTCTTTTTTGTGTATTTCCCTTCCCTTCTTTTATCTTCCCAATTGTCTCAGCTCAGAGACTCTATTAAAACTAAATAATCATATGCTTAATTATGTGTTTAAGGTCAAATGATCTAATCATATAACCAATTGTTTTTTTTTTTTTAAGATTTTGCTCACCTGTATTAATTGTGCTTGGTGCTCAGATCAAATGAGTTAAAACATTTTGAATTATTACAAAAACAATGTGATAATCACAAAAAAAGCAAAAACACTGCCAACTGGGTAGATGTAGGCATTTGTTTCCTAAACGTTAAGAAAGGTAACTTGTTATTTGCCATTTTTTTTAACACAGTGGGGAGTTTTAAAAAAATGTTATGACATTATTATATTAATAGATTATCCATGTAACACAAATGTAGGACATAAGCCAGTATATAAGATAAATGTTTTGGGCACTTCATTAAAAAATAATGTTAAGAGATGGAGGACTTTTCCACAGCACACAGAAACAACACTCAAAACAAACATAGAACTTGGCTAAGAGAGTGTTAGAGACACTGCTATAGCACAATGCTGAGAAAGTAAGAACATCTGTGAAGGAAACAGTGACTGAATTCTTGCCACGGATAAAGAAAATTGGACAAGAATAATGTAAAGACAATAGCATGTACTAAAAGCTGGATTTCATAAGGATTATCATTCATTTTCTCAGGAGGGTCCCATCATGGCTACATTTGGCAGTATCTTCACACTTAGAAGATGCCTGCTAAATGTTTGGAGGTGAAATGTTATGATGTATGTCTTAGGCTTTTCTACTGCTGTGACTAAATACCAACCAAAGGCAACTTGATGAAAAAAGATTTTATTTCACTTACATTTCTACATCACAGTCCAGTATTGAAGGAAGTCAGAGCAGGAACTCAAATAGGGCAGGAACTTGGAAGCAGAGCCTGATGCAGAGACCATGGAGGAGCGCTGTGTACTGTCTCCCTTCCCATGCTTTCCTCTGTTTTCTTAGAGCATCCATGACCACCAGCTCAGTGATCTGGGATCTCCTACACCAAGAGTCTGTCAAGAAAATTTATCACAAGTTTATCCACAGGCTAATCTGGTGGAGACATTTTCTCAGTTGAGGTTCCCTCTTTCCTGATGACTGTGGCTTGTGCCAAGTTGAAAGAGAACTAACCAGAACAATGTGTCTATAACTTCGAAGTGGAAATTTCTGATTTCTTTGAAGACTGAATTTTACCCCGTGATGTTCTGCCCAGGTTGGTTTACTGAGAAGGCATGTGATGTGTTGCCATGACCCCTCATGTGCGAGGGCTATGACTTTGGCAGGCTGAGAACATCCATGGGTGGACTTTGTACACACACACACACACACACACACACACACACACACATGCACGCACACACTCACACACGCCCGTGCAGAGTGAGACATTGCTTTTGGATGGACATTGCTGCACTGATCTTTGTGCTTTGACACTTGACTTCGCAGAAATAAACGTTCCAGAGAGCTTCTCTGGGAAATCCAACTGAGTCTTTTGGCTTTTACTGCTTCATGTTGGCCTTTGGACTGGACTGCTGGTATCCTGATCACAGAGTCTGGTAATCTCCTAACGAACCATCAACCCTAATTAGTAAGAAGCAGATAAAAGAGAACTACTGCCCCTTTCTCTACTAATCTCCTACATAAGGTTGCAGGGGAGGGAGGGTGATCGAGGAGTTGAAAGGAAGGTAAAGGTGCGTTAGAACCCTAAATAAAAATAGGTTTGGTGAAAAATCTAAGCCTACATAACTGTCATAAAAACAGCTATTTTGTTTGGATGGAAGGTAGAGTTGTGCTTATGTATGTTTCTTTTAACTTTTTACACATGAAAGTTTTCTCTGGCTATTACAAATAAAGCTGCTACAAACATGGTTGAGCAAATGTCCTTTTTGTGTACTTGAGCATCTTTTGGATATATGCCTAGGAGTGGTATGGCTGGATCTTGAGGAAGCGCTATTCCTAGTTGTCCGAGAAAGCGTCAGATTGATTTCCAGAGTGGTTGTACAAGTTTACATTCCTACCAGCAGTGGAGGAGGGTTCCCCTTTCTCCAAAACCTCTCCAACATGTGTTGTCCCTTGAGTTTTTCATCTTGGCCATTCTGATGGGTGTAAGGTGAAATCTCAGGGTTGTTTTGATTTGCATTTCTCTATATAAGTAGTTTTCTCTTTTTCTATAATGTTTTTGTTGTCATGAAGTCACTGTACATGGTAGTGGGTTTCTTTCTTTTCTTTTTTTTTCTTTATTTCTCTTCTTTCTTTCCTTCTTTTTTTTTTTTGAGACAGGGTTTCTTTTTGTAGCTTTGGCTGTCCTGGAACTCATGCTGTAGGTCAGGCTGGCCTAGATGCATAGAGATCCACCTGCCTCCGGCTCTGAGGTGCTGAGATTAAAGGTGTGCAGAGCCACCACTGCCAGAGCCAGTAGTGGGTTTCAGAAAAGCAATTTTAATACATGCATATAATGCATTTGAGCATATTCTCTCATATTTCCATTCAATAATTTCTTTTACTACTACTACTTCCTTCTACTCCTTTACTCCTCTAGATTTCTACTTTCCTGTCATATATACTTTCATGCTTAAAGCAAACACTTTAAATTAATGCAATGAACTTCATTTTTAGAGCAATTTTAGGTCTTACAGAAAATCAGATAGTACCTAGAGTTCCCATCTACCTTCTTTCTTCCACCATATTTCATTATTCATATCTTGCCTTAGCATAGCACATTTAGTAACACTGCTGTACAAATATTGATACATTATTGTTCACTAAAGTGCAAAATTAACACTAGCTGACTTTTGTTGTATGAATCTATTACTCTTTTTACAAATGCATAAGGTCATGTATCTACCATTATAGTATTATAAAGTAAAATTTCATTGTTCAAAACAATCATCTGTTTTAGCTCTTTATTCTCATTCTTCTCTGGTAAACAGAATCTTTTTAATGTCTTTATAATTTTGCTTTTGCAGAATATTACATAGTTAAAACAATATTCTCTTTCTTTAAAAAATGTTTCTATTAAATCTTTGATAATTTCAGGCAGTGTGCTTTTTAAATTCATTTTTACCCCTCACTCCTATCCTTAACTCCTCCCTGATCCATTCCCATCTCCTCACCTCCTCTGATTTTGCATCTTATTTTTATTACTCAATAACACTTCCACTCCAATTTGTTCTGCACATACACGCCTGGGTATGAGCCACCCACTAGAGCATGGTCTGGTTGTCAGGAGCCAAACCCTTAAAAACCCCGACTCTCCCTCCCTAGAAGCCATCAACTGTCCATAGCTCCTCAGGGGTGAGGGTTCATTAACCTCTTTCCAATCCATGCTAGAATGTTGCAGAGGACCCCTCTTGTTTGGTAAACAATATGCCTTTTGTGGCTTGATAACTCAGTTATTTCTAATGAACATTAAAAAAAGTTAATCTTTTAAACTTAGCAATAAGTTTCAAGTTACATACTTTGGATTCTGATTTAATAAACCACCCTTAAAGACTTCAAAAAGATAATTAAGGAGTTTTAATGTTTTACTATGCATTTGATATTAGGAACTTATTAACTTTAATGGATGCAGCAATTTAATTGCAGTCATATCTTATCTGTTAGAAAGGAAAATAAAAAACATAGACACTGACAAGAAGAAATGAATCGGCCATGGGAATTTTTTTATGACACTCAGCCACATCATATCTCAGGGCACTGTGGGTTTGAAGCAATGCAAAGAGGAGGTGTAACGGAGGACACTTTTATGCCTGCTAGGACATAATCATTAAATTCCGTGTTTTCCTGTTGAATCTTTCCAGTTGAGTTTGATTTGAGACCAGTAACCTAACCACAGTTCAAAAGTGGACATGCCCAAGTTCTGAATAAAAACTGGAAACTTCCTAGTTAAAATATCTGTATGGCGCCTTTGTCACCTTTTCAGTCCTGAAGTTGATTTTTTTTTTCCTTTCAAACCTTCTTGAATCTGTGAAAAACAAAACAAAACAAAACAAAACAAAACAAACAAAACCAAACAAAACCAAACAAAATCCAAAGTACCTTGTCCAGGCCCTACATACCACTATAGAAGCAATAAAAGCCTTTGAAACACATACAAGACGTTGGTATATTGTGAGACACTTGAAAATCTGCTATTTAGAGACCATCAACACGAAAGTGAATTCTTAACGCTTTGGAGAAAACAATGCTTGAAAAGGACGCAGGGTGGCGCTGCAGGCTCAGAAGTTGAAGGAACGGCCGAGCAGCCCACCTCCCAGATGCCAGTCCCCTAAAGGGCGGAGGTGGGGAGAGAAGACCTCCTAAGGCAGTCTTTCCGGGAAGCCTCAGGCCTGGGGATTGTGGACTTGTTCCAGCGTTTGCAAAATATTTGCAGAGCGAGTCAGTGACAACGTGAACCACGGCTGAAGCGAGTTGGGAGACCAGAAGGCGATGGAGGCTGGAAAGGAAATGCAGCTAGTCTTGGCAAAAAGGCAAGTCCTGCTGTTCTTTGTTTTGCTGGGCATAGCTCAGGCCGGGTCCACCCTTAGGCGCTACTCGGTGGAGGAGGAAGCAGAGAATGGTTTTTTGGTGGCAAATTTGTTAAAGGACCTGGGGCTGGAGGTAGAGGAATTCGCTGCACGGGGACCCCGAGTCATTTCCAAAGGGAAAAAATTGAACTTAGAGTTTAAGAGGCAAACTGGGGATTTGTTGTTAAGGGAGAAACTGGACCGGGAGGAGCTGTGCGGCCCCGCTGAACCCTGTGTGGTACCGTTCCAGGTGTTACTGGAAAATCCATTGCAGATTTTTCAGGCTGAGCTACAGATTAGGGACATCAATGACCATTCACCTGTTTTCCTGGACAGAGAAATAATTTTGAAAATTTCAGAAATCACCGCTCCCGGTACCACTTTCCTCATAGAATGTGCTCAAGACTTAGATGTAGGAAGCAACAGTCTTCAAACTTACACGATTAGCCCCAATTTCTATTTTCACCTTAAACTACAAGACAGTCCTGATGGCACAGTATTACCACAGCTGGTTCTGGACAAAGTGCTGGATAGAGAGGAACGATCTGAAATCAGATTAATACTCACAGCGCTCGATGGTGGGAATCCACCCCGCTCTGGCACCGCCCAGGTCGTCATTGAAGTCTTGGATGTCAATGACAACGCTCCCGCGTTTTCAAAGCTTCGCTATGAGGTTCAGGTTCCAGAGAACAGTCCTGTCGGATCCCAGGTTGCTACTGTCTCTGCTAGGGATTTAGACATTGGGGACAACGGACGAATAGCTTATGCGCTTTCCCAAGCTTCAGAAGACATTCGGAAAACATTCCGAATGAATGCAACCTCCGGAGAAATCATTTTAGCGAAAACACTGGATTTCGAATCCACCCAGGCATATACAGTATATGTTCAGGCTACAGATGGTGGGGGACTTTCCGGAAGCAGTGTGGTGTTTGTCCAAGTAATGGATTTGAATGACAACCCTCCAGAACTGATTCTGTCCACACTTACCAATCACATCCCAGAAAACGCCCCGGAAACCGTAATTGCTGTGTTCAGTGTTGCAGATCCAGACTCTGGAGACAACGGAAAAATGGTTTGCTCTGTCCAAGAGGAGCTTCCTTTTCTTCTAAAGCCTTCAGTTGAGAACTTTTACACTCTTATGACAAACACGGCCCTGGATAGGGAGACCAGATCACAGTACAACATCACCATCTCCGTCACCGACATGGGCTCACCCAGGCTCACAACCCAGCACACCATAACAGTGCAGGTGTCCGACATCAACGACAACGCCCCCGCCTTCACCCAATCCTCCTACACCCTGTCTGTCCGCGAGAACAACAGCCCCGCCCTGCACATAGGCTCCATCAGAGCCACAGACTCAGACTCTGGCTCCAATGCCCACATCACCTACTCGCTGCTGCCGCCACAGGACCCGCAGCTGGACCTCCACTCTCTAGTCTCCATCAACGCAGATAACGGGCAGCTGTTCGCGCTCAGGGCGCTGGACTATGAGGCTCTGCAGAGCTTTGAGTTCCACGTGGGCGCCACAGACCAAGGCTCCCCTGCACTCAGCAGCCAGGTGCTGGTGCGAGTCCTGGTGCTGGACGACAATGACAATGCGCCCTTCGTGCTCTACCCTCTGCAGAACGCCTCTGCGCCCTGCACAGAGCTGCTGCCCAGGGCGGCGGAGCCTGGCTACCTGGTCACCAAGGTGGTGGCTGTGGACCGCGACTCTGGCCAGAACGCCTGGCTGTCATTCCAGCTGCTCAAGGCCACGGAGCCAGGGCTGTTCAGCGTGTGGGCGCACAATGGCGAGGTGCGCACCACCAGGCTGCTGAGTGAGCGCGATGCCCCCAAGCACAGGCTGCTGCTGCTGGTCAGGGACAATGGCGATCCTCAGCGCTCTGCCAGTGTTACTCTGCATGTGCTGCTGGTGGATGGCTTCTCCCAGCCCTACCTGCCTCTGCCAGAGGTGGCGCGCGACATGGAGTATGATGAAGATTCACTAACACTCTACCTGGTCATAGCCTTGGCATCTGTGTCTTCACTCTTTCTCTTGTCCATGCTGCTGTTTGTGGGGGTGAGGCTGTGCAGGAGGGCCAGAGCGACCTCCCTGGGTGGCTGCTCTATCTCGGAAGGCCACTTTCCTGGACACCTGGTGGATGTCAGTGGAGCAGGGACCCTGTCCCAGAGCTACCAGTATGAAGTGTGTCTGAGTGGAGATGCTGGGGCCACAGATTTCAAGTTCCTGAAGCCAGTTGTCCCCAGTTTCCTTCTTCAGAGTGCAGAAAGAGAGAATGATACAAACACCAGTTACAGGAATAGTTTTGAATTCAGTTAAATATTGGTGAGGAAACATGGAGTCTAGTCTCAGCTAAAAGGTGAAAGGCCTGATTTTACTGCTTTGACAACTAAAGGTGTCTATTCTTTGGAAGTAACTATCTTATTCCAATTCTTTGCATGTTCCTGGTATTTCTATATAAGTAAAGTATGTGGAATGAGGAATCTAAATTTTGCTTGCATTCCAATTTTAATTAGTCTCATAATTTTGTTTTTACTTATAATGTGAAAATAAAAATTGGACTTTCAGAAATCTTTTTTTATTTTTGTCCTGAAACTCACCATGTACACTAGGCTGGTCTCTAACTCCCAGAGATTCACCTGTCTCTGCCTCTTGAGTGCCGGATTAAAAATGCATGACACTATGCCCTGCAGAAATGAGCTAGAGCATCATTGATTAAATTTAAGGTCTTCAGTTCTGGATTATTCTTTTAAAAAATTTATTATCATTTATTACAATTTAATCAATTGGTATCTTGGCTGTAGCCCCCTCCCTCATCTCCTCCCAATTCCATCCTCCTCCTATACCTCTTCCCTAGTCTACTGATAGGGGAGGTCCTCAGACCCTTCTATTTGAACCTAGCCTATCAGGTCTCATCAGGAAGACATGCATTGTCTTCCTCTGTGGCCTGGTAAGGCTGCTCCCCCGGGGGTGGTGCTCAGAGAGCCTGCCACTGAGTTCATGCCAGAGAAAACCTCTGCTCCCCTTACCAGCTACCCCACTTGGAGACTGAGTCTATGGGCTACATCTGAGCTGGGGTTTTGGTCCTCTCCATGCATTGTCCTTGGTGAGGGTATCATTCTCTTCAGGGCCCCCAGGGCTCAGTTTTAATGGCTCTGTTGGTCTCCTTTTGGAGCTCCTGTTCCCTCCAGGTCTTTCTCTCCCTCCCTTCTTTCCTAAGATTCTCTGCCCTCTGTCCACAGTTTGGCTATGAGTCTCAGCCTCTGCTTCGATACCCCGATCAGTAGAGTCTTTGAGGGGCCCTCTGTGTTAGGCTTCTGCCCTGTTTCCTGTTTTTTCCTGCTTCCAATGTCTATAGTGTTTTTCCTTCTGAATGAGGATTGAGCGTCTTCCCTAGGGTCTTCCTTGATGTTTGGCTTTTTTAGGAGTATAGATTTTAATATGTTTTTCCTATATTATATGGCTAATATCTACTTACAAGTGAGTTTATACTATGTGTGTCTTTCTGCTTCTGTATTACCTCACTCAAGATGATCTTTTCTAGTTTCCACCATTTGCCTGCAAAGTTCATGATTTCTTTGTTTTTAATAGCTGAGTAGTATTCTATTGTGTAAATGTACCACAATTTCTGTATCCATTCCTCCACGGAGGGACATCTAGGTTGTTTCCAGGTTTTGGCTATTATGAATAAAGCTGCTACGAACATGGTTGAGCAAATGTCCTTGTTGAATGGTGGGACATCTTTTGGATATATGCCCAGGAGTGGTATAGCTGGATCTTGAAGTAGCACTATTCTTAATTGTCTGAGAAAGTGCCAGATTGATTTCCAATGTACAAGTTTACATTCCCACCAGCAGAGGAGGAGAGTTCCCCTTTCTCCACATCCTCTCCAGCATGTGTTGTCACTGGAGTTTTTGATCTTAGCCATTCTGATGGGTGTAAGGTGAAATCTCAGTGTCGTTTTGTCTGGATTATTCTTAAGTGCTGTCTAAAATTTTTTTTCTCTCCTTACCCGAGTTGTAACATTTTGCAGCCCAGACTATTTGAGTTCATTTATTCTCTTAATGTAACTTTCATCTCTGAGCTGACATTAAACTCTTTACATGAGTGTGACTAACAGAGAACTCTTCCCATGTTTATCTATGCACATATTTTAAAGTATCAGCACACAAAACTTATGATTCTTTAAAGATTGTGAAAATCTTATTTGTTGGATTTAACAGTGTTCAAATTATAAATGCAAAACAAATTCAGTCAAAAGTCATATGCTATTCTAAAGAATAGCTAAAGGACACCTGTGTAGTGTTTTTCAAGGGCATGATAATTTTTCTTTTGTTTCATTTCACTCAAATAGGCTTTCAAAGTTCTTCTGAGGAACTCAGTACTTTTTAAAGTTCCTCCCTCCCTCTTTCTTCTTTCTTTCTTTCTTTCTTTCTTTCTTTCTTTCTTTCTTTCTTTCTTTCTTTCAGACAAGGTCTCACCGTGGTCTTGAATTTGTGACTGGACCGCCTACATCTAGACTGTTGGGATTACAGGCATTGCACTAGCTTCCTAGTTGATTAACCTACGGAGACTTTATTATAATTGAACTATATACAAAAGCATATGCTTTTATCTTTTACCAACTTAGAAAATTTGCATGTAGCCTGGCATTCCATTGTCATTTTTTTTCTGGGACATTAGAGATTCAGTTGAGCCTAAGTCCATGAGCAGTGTGTGTGAATCTATTATAATATTTATTAATTTTCGGGACTGACTTATTTTATTTTTCTCTCTTTAGTACCATAGACTTTTAAAAACTTTTTAAAAAAAAGTCTGTGGTAGGCCAAATGAGATGGTTGGCAATTCTTGACAGCCTGAGTTTGATCCCAAGATCCACATGATAGAAGTAGAAAACCAGTTCCTCAAAGTTGTTCTCTGACTTAAACAAACACCTAAGAAATTATTTGAAATCTCAGTTTTTGAGTTATGTTTATGGATAGCTCCCATTTATTTCATGATTAGCACAGTCATCATGATGTTTTAGGTTCTTAATATTTTTGACTAATTGACTGAAAGAAGAGTTGTTTTAGTTGCGACAAACTAATAATTAAATAGGGCAAGATACTTAATGAATAAAACTTTTGCTGGAACTGAGTACTCCGACATACAATGAATAATCTGATTTTGCTATTATCACTCTACTGCTTTTTTTTTTGACATATATTTCCCTTTTCTCTCTTAATGCTTAATTCAAGTGTTCTCTCCTGTCTAATGGCTCAGTGAATATAGAATTCTGGTATTTTATTTTATAATTTAAATATGCTTCTGTGTTTCCCAAGTTACTCACCCAACTTTCTTCACTTCTTTCAGTTTAATTTTAGACACATCTGATACAGAAATTTTAATTCTTAATTTTTCAAACCTTTATTAATTTTTGCATAATTTTATGTGTATTTGTATGAGAAATGCTATTAAACTTAAGGAATTTGAATATCTCATTTTGGGATTAGTGATGTCAGAAAGAACTGCCTTAGCTTCAAAAGTCTCTGTTTAATCACCTTATCACATGTGGGATGTTGGTTATGTGACTTCCTATGACATCAACTATCTTGCTGTTATTATCAAGCACAATAACATAACATTATAGAAACATAGCTGCTATTAGTTTCAGTGTCACTAATGTTAGGAATAAACTCAATTATGAGCCAGTGGGTAGCACTCCTGATACTTATGTAGAGAGCTAAATTGAACACATTGTATCTTCACTGCTTTTTTTTTTTTTTTTTTTTTTTTTTTGCCAGCCTCCAATCTTACAGTAGCTTCCCGTTGCTCTTGGAATAAAGTACAAGGACTTATAGTTTCTCATGGTTTTTACCTGACTCATCTCCGTACTCTTGAGACACTCAGACCCGGCACATTGTCCTTTATTATCTAGATTTCCGACACTGTACTCTTGCAGGTTCTTCACATGTTCTGTATCACCTGGTACACTTCTGATCCTTAACAGTCCACATTAAAGGCAAGACTTCGGGGAGGATTTTCCAAACTACCTCTCATTAAATCCAGGGCACTAGTACGTTTCCTATGTCACACATCCCACACTGTTTGAGCATGTTTGAAATGTGCATACCCTGTTAGGTGGGAAACTGTATACAATTTATAGATCTGATCTTCTATCATATTATATGCATAACATCTACAAATTAAATAGCTATCTATGGTAATAAGTTAATACAGGTTAAGCTAATAATTACTAAATTTCTGTGAAAGGAGAGCAAACATTATTAAATACTCCATGAGCATGAAAATATGGAAGTAATCATGTATTCCCAGCCATCTGATATGAGCATGGTATTTTACCACCTTAACTTTTCATAGTGTTTCTCCTACTGTTACTGCGACTCACACTTTTACAAAACTTTGAAAATAAAGAAAACTACAAAAAGGAAAGATAAGCATGTGATCAATTAAACTTTTAAAAATTTTGTAGGTAGTAATTAAAGGTGAGCACCCTAGCCTGTGCGCACTTAAGTTATGTAAGTGAGGACTCTTACTAGAGATAGCTAATTCCATTTAGTCATCGTACTTGCTTAGTTTATGTTTAACTTGTGTTGCTCAGGAAACTCCCTCAATAGGGTCAAGTAGGTTTGATAAGAGAAATAAACGACACAAATAAAAACCAGTAACAAAACCAGCAGCTTTTTCTAAGAAAGTAAAACTGCGAACGAACGCATGGTGGCGCTGTTGGCTAAAAAGGCGAATTTAGACTTCCTAGTCACAGACTCACAGTGCGGTCTGACGCGATAAATCCAGGGCTTGTGAACCTGGGCAGATTTTTAAGCAAGAAAAACGGAATCCCTGAAAAATAGCAGTTGTTAGGCTGTCTCCGAAAGACTTTGTTTTTCACAGAGAGATATAAGGCTCCTCTTGGTGACAAGCTCTTGGAAAAACACTGCAGAAATACAATGGAGGCCAGGGAAGAACGCTTTCTTAAACACAGGCAAGTCTTGCTTCTCTTTGTTTTCCTAGGTGGGTCTCTGGCTGGGTCCTGGCCTAGGCGTTATTCTGTGGCCGAGGAAAACGAGAGGGGCTACTTAATAGCCAATCTAGCGAGGGATCTGGGGCTCAGTGTTGAAGAAGTGGCTGAAAGGAGAGCTCAGGCTATCTCCAAAGGGAGCATCCAGTATTTTCAGCTCAGTCATCAGACGGGAGATTTGCTCTTGGCTGAGAAGCTGGACCGGGAGGAGCTGTGCGGTTCCACGGAGCCTTGTGTGCTGCCCTTTCAGATATTGCTGCATAATCCTTTGCAGTTTATCACGAATGAGCTCGAGGTCGTCGATGTCAATGACCACGCACCGGAGTTTTTTGAGAATGCAATGCAGCTGAAGGTCCTGGAAGGCTCCCCACCCGGGACGGCGATTCCTCTGGGAAGTGCTGTGGACTCGGACGTGGGGAGAAACGGACTCCAGAACTACACAGTCTCTCCCAGGTCTCATTTTCACGTTCGCACCCGCCTTCGTAGGGATGGAAGGAAGTATCCGGAACTAGTGCTAGACAGCGCTCTGGATCGGGAGGAGCAGCCAGAGCTCAGCTTAACTCTCACAGCCCTGGACGGAGGAGCCCCGCCTCGGTCTGGCACTGCTCAGATCCGCATCCTTGTCTTGGATGTAAACGATAACGCCCCAGAATTTACACAGTCGCTCTACGAGGTTCAAATCCTAGAGGAAAGCCCAGTTGGCTCTGTCATTGCCACCGTCTCAGCTTCTGACTTAGATACGGGAAATTTTGGTTCAGTATCATATGTGTTTTTTCATGCTTCTGAAGAAATTCTGAAAACTTTTCAACTAAATCCCAGTACTGGTGATATACAATTAGTTAAGGGGTTGGATTATGAAACAATCACTACTTACGAGGTTGACGTAGAGGCCAAGGACGGTGGAGGCCTTTCAGGAAAATGCACAGTCATAGTCCACGTAGCTGATGTGAACGATAACCCACCAGAACTGACTTTGTCATCAGTGAGCAGTCTTATCCCTGAGAATTCCGTAGAGACTGTGGTGGCTGTTTTCAGTGTTTCTGACTCAGACTCAGGAGATAACGGGAGAGTTACATGTTCTGTCCAGAATGATCTCCCCTTCATCCTGAAGCCATCTGTAGAGAATTTCTATACTATAGTATCTGAAGGAACTCTGGACAGAGAGAGCAGAGCCGAGTACAACATCACCATCACCGTCTCCGACATGGGCTCACCCAGGCTCACAACCCAGCACACCATAACAGTGCAGGTGTCCGACATCAACGACAACGCCCCCGCCTTCACCCAATCCTCCTACACCCTGTCTGTCCGCGAGAACAACAGCCCCGCCCTGCACATAGGCTCCATCAGAGCCACAGACCCAGACTCAGGCTCCAATGCCCACATCACCTACTCGCTGCTGCCGCCCAATGACCCACAGCTGGCCCTCAACTCTTTAGTCTCCATCAACGCAGATAATGGGCAGTTGTTCGCGCTCAGGGCGCTGGACTATGAGGCCCTGCAGAGCTTTGAGTTCCTTGTGGCTGCCACAGACCAGGGCTCCCCCGCACTCAGCAGCCAGGTGCTGGTGCGAGTCCTGGTGTTGGACGACAATGACAATGCGCCCTTCGTGCTCTACCCTCTGCAGAAC